GTTGTTTTCTTTCTGTTTGTCTTGTTATTGTTGGTTTTTTTGTTATGTTTTGGGTAGTAGGGACAAGGTCTTAACTGTGTAACCCAGGTCAGTCTTGAATTGGAGGTCCTCTTTCCTTAGCCTCCCACATATTGAGGTCACAAGCACATGCCACATGTACAGTTGGCTGCATTACATTTTGTGTTTTGGTGTGTGTTGTTGGGAATAAACCTGGGGCAATTATACATGTTAAGAAAACACTTTACTACTGTGCTCCATTCAGACTTTTCTCATACTGTCTTTGTTTCCATGTTTAAGTTACTGTGTCATGTCAACCAGTGCATAGGGAAGCAGATTGAGCTCTGACCAGTTTTGACACGTTCTGAGAAAAAATTCATTTTTATTGAGTGAATAGAGAAGATCCTACAGAGTTACACAGTAGATGGAGTATATTGTTCCCTAGCAGAGCTGAGGTCAGTTCAGAATCTTCCTTAGAAATTGAAATACTATGACAAGTCTCAAGAGCATTAATAAATGCTCTCAGCACTTAGGAGACAGAAGCAGGCAGATCTGAGTTTGAGATCAGCCTGACCTACAGAGTGAGTTCAGGATAGCCAGGGCTACACAGAGAAATCTTTCTATATGAGCGTGTGTGTGGTGTGTGTGTGTGTGTGTGAGAGAGAGAGAGAGAGAGAGAGAGAGAGAGAGAGAGAGAGAGAGAGCTCTTATGTACTCAACATACATGCAGATTCCTGTGGAGTAGAAGAGGCACCAGATCTTCCAGAACTGGACACAGACAGTTGTGAACTGCCGTGTGGTAGCTGGGAATTGAACTGTGGTCCTCTGGAAGAGCAGCCGGTGCTCTTAACACAGAGCTACTTTCCAGCCATGATTTATTTTCAAAATAACTAAAGTGAAGTCAGGAACTCTGAGGGACAGTTACAAGCTCTGCATTATTTACATGCCTTTGGATGGAGAGTCACTGAATGAAAGAGTTAAAAGACATAAGAAGTCACTCAGGGAGTTAAGAGTATGTTTGCCAGAAAGAGAAGGGATAAAAGAACCACATTCACTGGAGAGTTTACTTTTTTGTTGCTTTGCCTCAAAGGATCTAATTTATTTACTTAAGATGAAACCTCCAGAGATGTTCTTTAAACCTTAGTTTTATTTCTTAGACCCAAAATATCTATCGTATTTCAGAATACTAATATTCTTCAGAAGATGGGTAGTGATTAAAATAGCTAGCATTCATTAAACATGGAGAGCTTGCTAGGCCCTGTTGCACCTGCTTTACCGAGGATGCTTCTGTCTCTGAAAGAGAGATTCTTGTTTCCTCCATAAGTAACTTGAGGCTTTGGGTTCTGCCCAAGAAGGAAAGGTCTGAGAGAAATGCAGGCAATATGGCCCAAGAACCTACATTGTTTACTGTGCTAGCTGTGGATAAGGATGCATCCCAAATATTATTGATGCTAAGATTGTCACGTAAGGAAGAATACGTGCAACTTTGAAGAGCGAAAATGTGCAGTGTGTTACAGGACAGGGCACAGTGATAAGAGTATATTATTCCACCCTTCTGGATGTATCTGCAGTACGTGGTACTTTGTCACGGGGGTCGCTATAGGAGAACATCCTGTATTCTCATACTGTTCATTCACAGTGATTGGTTAGGTAAGTTCACAAAGCCCTTTCATCTGTTATGTTCTGTTACTGCTACAGTATTATTATGGCTACTGGATGCTCAGTTCCTTTACAGTAAAAAGGGATAAGTTAAATGAAATGAAAGGAACGTTACAGCTGGACAGTGAGAGCACTCCAGCACTCAGGAGGCAGAGGCTGGTGCATCTCTGTGGGTTCAAGTCCAGCCTGAACTACAAAGAGAGTTCCGGGACAGCCAAGGTTACACCAAAAAACCCTGTACACCGTGGATAGTATTTTGGTTTAAATAGATTTCAGTCGGGCAAGTTCCTTTACTAATCAAGTCCTTGTTTTATGTATTCAAATAATGGGGGGGGGTGGCGGTGGAATTCAGATTAATCAGCCTCATCTACACAACCATTCCCACTCATCACAAGACCCATGTTCCCTAGGCCTCTATTGCTGTGGAAAACATCATAAACAGAAGTAACTTGGGGGAGAACGGGTTTATTTTAACTTACAGTTTGTAGCCTATCATCCATGGAAGTCAGGGCAGGGACTTGGAAGCAGGCACTGATGCAGCGACCACGAAAGAGTGCCGCCTACTTGCTTGCTCAACCTGCTTTCTTATACCACCCTAGGCCTGCCCAGTGGTGGTGCCACCCACAGGGGCTTGGCCCTCCCACATCAATCATTAATCAAAAGCGTGTCCTACAGGCCAATCTGATGGAGGCATTTTCTCAATTAAGATTTCCTTCACAGATATATCTAGGCTTGTGTCAAGTTGACAGAAGGCATCCAGCACACCAGGAGACACAGCAAATCTTTTCTGGCTGCTTCGGAAGGGAAGCACAGATCTGAAGAGTCAAGAATGAGGCCCACAGGCAGTGGTGACGCACGCCTTTGATCCCAGCACTTGGGAGGCAGAGGCAGGTAGATCTCTGTGAGTTCGAGGCCAGCCTGGTCTACAGAGCCAGTTCCAGGACAGGCTCCAAAGCTACAGAGAAACCCTGTCTCGAAAAACCAAAACAAACAAAAATTATAGAATGAGGTCCATAATTTGGCAGACTAGTTCCAGTCCTAGTCATGTGGGTTGTGGGGTGGCACTAATGGCAATCAAGGGGATTTAAACATTAGATTAAACACCAAATGAGCCCTTGAAGAAATGTTATAGCCTAAGGTATATCAATACCCCCAATTCATATGCTGAAAATCCTTAGGCCCTCCAAATGTCATTGTGCTGTATTTTAAGTAGTAGTGAATGTAAAATGAAGCCATTAAGTTTAGCCCTATTCCCATCCAAGAGATGTCCATAGAGGAGATCAGCCGGGCAGCAGTGGTGGCACACACCTTTAATCCCAGCACTCAGGAGGCAGAGGCAGGTGGATCTCTGTGAGATAGAGGCCAGCCTGGTCTATAAGAGCTAGTTCCAGGATAGCTAGGGCTAACACAGAGAAGCCTTATCTCAGAGGGAAAAAAGAAGAAATCAGAGCATACTGGGAGATAAAGCTAGAGGGCATCTGCCAGTTCAGAGAAGAAACCAAAGTTTTTCACAACTTGATCCTGGACTTCTAGCCTCCAGAACTGAGAAAACAAATTTCTTTCTTTCTTTTTTTTTTTTTTTTTCTGAGGCCAAGTTTCTCTGTAGCTTTGGAGCCTGTCCTGGATCTAGCTCTTGTAGACCAGGCCTGCCTCTGCCTCCCGAGTGCTGGAATTAAAGGCCTTGAGCCATCAACGCCAGGCTTTACTGTTTAATCCATCTAATCTGTAGTATATTTAGGCAGCACAAGCAAACTAAAACAAGGGGGAGGGGTAGAAAGCACCAAAAGACAGACTACAGGTTTAGGAGGACTGGGGCAGGGCGTTATTACTGATGGGAGAGTCAACTTATTCCTAGCGTAAGGAAGGACACAAGCAGAAATACTATCCACGGTGTACAAGGTCTCTTGGTGTAATGTCTTTTGAGACTCAGGGTATAACAAATTAGATCTCTGCATATTTGACAAAACTGTTATTCTAGCTCTGTAAAACCAGTAGATGACAACTATGCCTGTGTTAATCAGGGTTCTCCAGAAAAACAGAATCAAGAGGATGAATGTGCACTACACAGGCAATTTCTTAGACTGACTTACACAATAAGGGCTGGATAATCGAATGCTCAGAACCTTGTTGCTGCTCAGTCCATAAACCTGGATGTCTCAGCAGCCCCAATCCGAAGAGCCTTGAAGAGCTGATGGTCTTCAGTCCACCTCGGAAGGCTAAAGAAGCTTAGTTCTGGTGGCAGCAGCAGCAACAATGGCAGAGATGCACACACCAGCAAGAACCAAGGCAGGTAAATAAGCAGCACTCTTGTCGTCTCCTCAAACCTCTTCCTATTCCGGGCCACTACAGGAGACAGTGCTATCCACTCTGAGGGCCTTTTCCCTTCCATCAATCCTTCCTGGAAATGACCTCACAAACCAAACCAGAGGCAGGCCTCTCAGTTGATTCCAGATGCAATTAAGTCAATAATCCAGACACTGTCATAATATAAAATATATAGTAAGCTATAAACTTCTTTGTTTTAGTTTAAATGTCTTTTGAGACTCGGGGTATAACAAATTAGATCTCTGCATAATATTTGACGAAACTGTTATTCTGGCTCTGTAAAACCAGTAGATGGCAACCTTACTAAGGGATTGACATCTTAAATGACATATCAAAAGCAGCAATTTTTAACCACTTCAGAGTTCTATCAAGAGAGTACACATTTAAAACAAACGCTATCATATAACCCTCTCAATTCCCATGTAAAAGTCACTACTGTGGTGAGAATTACATTCCCGGAAGCATGCCGTCCTCAGCAGGGGGTTAAGGCTGAGTCTACTACATCCTCTGATTGCCAGCCGCCAAACCATGTGACCGCCCCCAAGAACATTAGCTCTACAATACTTCAAGTAGAAAGGGGCACGCAGATTCGGACTTCTATTGGGGGAAGGCGCTGGAAGCATGAGTGTCCAGAGAGCGGTAGATAGGGCTCTCAACACCTGCTGCACACACATCTGGTTCTCCTCCCTGACTCTCAGTATTTCAACCAACTCCGCCACTCTCCACAGTTCTAACGCACATCTTCCCTTTGCTCCATCCAGAAGGACCATCTTTTCCTGTTTATTAAATCTAAGATGAAAACCTACATAAACCATTTCCTGTATAAAATCTAAGGAAAGACTTGTTGATAAGACTGAAATACAAACCAGGCATTGGTGGCACATGCCTTTAATAATAATCCCAGCACTCAGGAGGTAGATGGATCTCTGTGAGTTTGAAGCCAGCCTGGTTTACAAAGTGAATTCCAGAACTGCCAGGGCTACACAGAGAAATCCTGTCTCAAAAAAACGAAACAAAACTCAAACACAAAAATTATATTTATTTTGAATAATAAAAGCAACACAAAGCGGAGCAATCCATTAAATTTTAAGTCTACACAATTTTCAGCGGAAAACTAATGTTTGATAAAATTTAAAAACAACACATCACAGTTAACAGTATGCGACCTGCAGCCCCCATGTAGCTGAGGATAGCTACAAAAGAAGAACACGGAATCTTAGAGCATACAAGTTTTTTGAGGGGTGTGTGTGTGTGTGTAACTTGATTCTTGACTATGAAGTTTGTATATGACACCAGTTATAAATGTTAAGACTTGACACTCCCACAAGTCAGAATTTATTGTACACAAAACTGAGTGGGAAGAAAGCAAATACTACTAGCGACTTGACTGAGAACCAAAAGCAACAGCAGGAGGGGGTGGAGTTTTCAAACACCATTAGGAAGCTGAATATGGGATTTTTCAACACAGTAGAAATCAGAGCTCCCTGGGAGATGGGTTGGTTTGAAACAGTTCATGTTATAAGCTTTGCCATTAAATCTTATTTCTAGACTCTTCATCTGAAACAACTTCTGCCAAAAGATGAGGTTACTTACTCATCAGGCCTGAAAAGACCTTTGCCTTTCCGTTTCCGACTTTGATTTCTGTCACTAGGCTCCTGTCACCAACACAGCAGGGGCTGCCTTCCAACAAAGGCTAATATACTAATATACAGACCAACCTCCTGGTTTAGATTCCCCTATCATAAACACAGATACTTGCCATGGACCACTCTAGATCCAGTTTCTTTTACTTTATCCTGCTACATAACACTGCGTGGCTACAAAATCTGGGGCTCACAGAACAGCAGTACTGGTCAGTTTCAATGGCCACAAGATATTGATAATCATCATCTGCCATCATCTTGTCCATTATTTCTTTCGGAATTCAATCCTCCGAGCAACATTCTGAGCTCCAAATTTTTTGATCAATGCATTTCTAGTGTCCTCATCATCCTTCTGCAAATCTAAGTCATCTTGTCGGGACCAGATTGGATAGCCATCAGATCTCTGACCAGACTCTAAAAAGGAGGAGGTGGCCTCCAGCTCACCACTGTTTTTCAGGAAGGCCTGTGTAACTGTTGATAGATCCAACTTAAACTTTTCCATTAGTTGCCGGATAATTTTGATGGCAGCTCCCACTTCCTGTGTAGAAACTTTTGGTTCCTCTTCCTCCTCATCTGGCTGTGTTTCGGAATCTTCCTCAGGTGTGGGAGGATCATCATCACACATTGTTATATGTATTTCAAAGTCAGGGCTCTCACCCACCTATGAAGAATGAGGAAGAAGACCAGGTCATCATATTTACTTAGCCTTGAACTCCTGCAATATGTATCTTCCCAACTACCATTCCCTAGCTCCTCACACAACATCACACAAGCCCCTCCCTTCAGTTCCTCTCATATACTTTTAATCATGCTGACATGTATACATACATAGACAAGGACAATTTATGGGAAGAAGTATGTTGTGTACAACTATACATACATATTTAACTGATTAAAATATGAAATGTATGCATGTATGTGAGAAGGCATGTATAACCTATATGACATTAGATCATTTTTTAAATGCTGGACTTTGCTTCCAGATGGGTATGGTGATATATCCCTATAATAAGGATTCCTGGCAGAAAAGAAACCCATAAATTCAGGACAGCTTTGGCTATACAATGAGACAGTGTTTCATGTAGTCCAGGGGGCCTTGAATTTACTATGACCTTTAGCTTTTTCTCCACTCTACTTTTTGAATTAATTATTAATTTTTTTAGGTTATTTATGTGTATGAGTATTTTGTCTCCAGGTATGCACATGCACCATGTGCATGCTGGTGCCCACAGTTGTCAGAAAAAGGCAATAGATACCTGGGATTGGAGTTAAGATGGTTATAAGCTGCAGTATGGGTGCTGGGAACCAAACCTGGGTCCTCTACATGAGCAACAAGTGCTCTCAACCTCTCAGCCAACTCTCCACTCCACCTTTAACTTCTGTCTCCCTCCTTTGGCTCCCAAGTGTTGTAATTATAGGCATGTCCCAGAAAGTTCACTGAGATAGGGTGTCTTTTTTTTTTTTTTTCAATTTGAGACAAGGTAGCCCAGGATAGCTTCAGAGATAATATAGCCAAGGGTGAATCATAACGACTTTCTTTTTTTGTTTGCTTGGTTGCTTTGCTTTTTTCCAAGACAGGATCTCACTATGTAGGTTGTCTTGGCACTCACTATATAGACCAGGCTAGCCTGGAACTCAGAGATCCATGCGCCACTATGCCTGGTTCCATAACCACTTTCTTTTGTGTTAATAAACTAGATTAATTCAGGGCCAGTAAGATGCTGGGCTAAAGGTTAAAGCACCTGCCACCAAACCTGATACCTGAGTTGCCTCTGAAAGCTAAATGGTAGGAGAAGAGAGCAGGCTTTTTATCTAACAAATAAAATTGTAGATGGGTGGTGGTGGCACACACCTTTAATCCCAGCACTCGGGAGGCAGAGGCAGGTGGATCTCTGAGTTTGAGGCCAGCCTGGTATACAGAGCTAGTTCCAAGACAGCTAGGGCTGTTATACAGAGAAACCCTGTCTCAAAAATAAATAAATAAAATTCTAATACATTTTTAAATGTTTTTAAAAAGTTAATTCGCAATATCTTTAGTCTTACAGAAAATACACAAATATAATTTGGATAAAAAAATTAGTCGCCATAATTATTTTACAGCACCGGCCTTTCTCAAAAGCTATTATTGTGGGGCTCCAATAGTGTATTCCAAGACAGACTGAGCATATAAAAGAACAAAAAATATCTCCAAAGAGTCGGGCAGTGTTATCGCACGCCTTTAATCCCAGAACTCAGGAGACAGAGGTAGGTGGATCTCTGAATTTGAGACCAGCCTGGTCCACAAAGTGAATTTCAGGACAGCCAGGGCTACACAGAGAAACCCTGTCTCGAAAAACAAAACAAAATTTAAAAAAAAAAAAAATTCAAACCATACAGAAACCTAAATGCTTAAAAAAAATTACCAGTTTTTTTTGAAAGTTAGATTTATGCTCCTGAGAAGCATAAGAACATTCTAAAGCAGCCAAATAAACTGTTGTTAACTTTGAAAAGCACACAGTGAAATCAAAGTGTTCAAAGCAGGTAGTTTACACTGCTAAGATACAACCATTCCTGGGTAGACATCTTTAATCTCAGAAGAGGCAAGCAGACCTCTGTCAGTTCAAGGTCAGCCTGGTCTATGTACCGAATTCCGAGCCATCCACAGCTATGTAGTGAGACCCTGTCTCAAAGCCAAACAAAAGAAAAAAATAATCATCCCTATTCTGTGCAATTTTTCCTCTGTCACTTACACTATCCTGCCAAACACTAAAAGCTTTGTGAAGCCTAAAGTCAGATCACATCTAGTTTCTCTCCTCTTCTATCTTGAACTTCTTTCTCTCTTAGCCTCGGGTAAAGGGGAGAAATGAGTAAACTGAGCTGACATACCACAGCTTCTTCAAACTCCCGACTGGCGTCCTCAAAGAGCTGTTTGACTGACTCATCATTCTCCTTGGTCTCTCCCTTCACACACTCCTCTTCAGGCAAGTCTGGCGTTCTCTTGTTCTGCGGCTCTAGGAAGGAACAGCAGATCAGCAGGGCTCGTCTGCACAGACCACCTCTACCGGTTCTATGTATGCAGAGCATTTTCCTTTAGAAAACACTTGTTTCTTATTTGGTATGAAGAGCATAAGATACACATTTCCAATAATTCTCACACTTATTTCCAAAATAAACCCACAATCCCAACACTCAGAAGCCTGATGCAGGAAGATTTGGGCTACCCTTGCACTATAAAAAGTGAGTTCTAAGCCAAATAAAATAATGAATGCTCTGTCTCCTTCTCCTCTCATGGCCTGGTTCAGTCTGGTCCCTCTGGACGTACTCTCCCTCATATCTACAGTAAACCCTCTCTTTCATACCTGCAGTCATCATGTCCAGCAAAGAGCGAACCTAGGAGCCCAGAGGCCAAGAGGCTGGCATAGCTAAACCGGCTGGGTTATACAGGACTCAGAGAAGCAGGGGGAAAGGTAGCCCAGTGGGCTAGAGAGGCTGAGGATAGGAGGCAGGGAGTAGGGAAGTTTCAAAATTGTCTGACATTTGTCTCATAATCCAGTAAATTGGGAAGAAGAGTATAAGTTTCAACAGTGACCACGAACTATAAACACACAACACAGTGAAACTGGATGATGAGCACAGGTGGTGTAGCTCATAGACTACTCCACATGTATGAATGTTTGCACTTTTCTATAGCAAACAGGGTTGGCAGCACATGGAAAGAAAAAGTTAGTGAGACGAAAAATTAAAATCAGAGAGCAGGGCATAAGAGAAAATAGTCCACTTTCACCCGGACCTCAACAAAGGAGGGGTTGAGCTATGCCAGTGGCGCCAAAAACGGCCACTGATGGACAGGCTGCCCAGCCCCCAGGTCCCCGGAGGTGCAAGCCTCACCCCCGCTATCAGCGGCCTCGGGATCCTGCTCCGCCTTCCGCTTGAGCTTTTGGGAGGACGGGCTGACCGGGGCGTCCCCAAGCAGGTACTTGTGCTCCTGGCCCCGCAGGTGCTTGAGGTAGCGGTCCTTGAGAGACTGCCAGGAGTGCTGTGTGAGCGCGCTCTTCTCCATCGCTTTCCACAAGGCATTGCCGGTGACTGAGTTGGGCGAGCGGGCATTTTCTTTCACGTAGGTCAGGATGGCCACGTCGTCCGCGTCCGTGTAGGCGATGCGCCCAGTCAGAGGCTGCGGCTCCAGCTCCGCGGAGCCCTCGGTGGAAGCCCCGGACTTTGTGTCTGGAGCCTGCTCGCTCAGTCCCAGGCGGTATGCCTCCAGCTCCAGCCTCTCGTTGCGCTCCACACAGTCTAGGATGTACTGCGTGGAGATGAAGTCGCCCGACGCCTCGGCCAGCGCCTCCCCGGGCTGGGCCAGCAGCACGGCCCCGGGCTCCTGCACCCGGCACACGGTGCCGCCACCGTGCAGGATGAGCGTCGACAGCCGGCGCTTGGCCGGGCTGGGCCGCACGTAAAACGACATAGCGCTCCCGTCTCCCCTCACGAACAGAGTGGAGGAGTGAGTGGGCCCATTGGGATCTTTACCCAGATCCATCGCCTCCGCCATACCTGTCTCTCCGCTACTAGAGAGCTTGGAGATTGATACTCCGGCGGTGGAGTCCACCACTGCGCCTGCGCAGCGACAGCCCAGCCGAAGGCCGGCCCTCTTCCCCGGAAGAGGCGGGGCTTCGGGACTTGACCTGGAAGTTGTAGCTCTACGCTAGTCATTTCTTTTTTTTTTCTTTATGTCTTGCTGGTGGGGAAGATGGCCACGCTGCAGGATAGTGAAGTAAAAGTGGATGGCGAGCCGAAACTAAGCAAGAAGTAAGTGTCGCTGACAGTCGTTAGTGTCTCTGTCGCAGTGGAAGTACCTGGAGGCTTCCTCCCAAGGCGACTGAGACTGAGCCAGGGGCCTCTCTGCCCTCTCCGGTAGGTGAGCACATGTTGGGATGGAGGTGCGGCGCTCTGGAAACTACAGCCCCCCGTACGCCCTGGGGTCAGCAGTCCTGGCTGGTGGGTTCCGTGGTCCTGACTGTGGGGTCGAACGTGCGGAGGGGAAGCCAGCACAGATACTGGGAGGTGACAAGAAAGAAAAGTGAAACGTACTTTCCTCTGTCTTTTAAGAAATGCTTCTTTAAATTGAACCACTCCCCCAGTGAATAGATTGGAAAATGGCTAAATGTCTTAACTTTTCAGAGAAGAGCCTGTTGGGTCGGGTGTTCGGTTCACGCGGGTCCGTGGAAGAAACGGGGTCAATCTAGGATGATTTTTTTATATTTAGCCTTTGCGGCCGCAGAGAAGTCAGCTTCTAGTGAACTGACTGACTTAACTTCCCAAAAGGATTTTTTATTGTTATACAGTTACATGATAGCAACTCAGTTTCCGCATACCAAACCCTCTTATCTGAAGTTTCCCAGAGAGACAAGTGCCAAAGCAATTCCCATTCCCAGGACATATGTTTTCCGTGCCCTCCCACAACCACGATTTGCATATTTGAACCTTTTAGGAAGAACTCAGATGAGCTAACGTTCCGAAATCAGGCCAGCAGCAAAGCTCTGTGGGAACTCCTGTTAACAAGAACCTTAAACTTTTTTCTTGGCTTATCCAAGATCCTTCTGCACCTTATATGTGAAAGGGGGTTCATTCTCAAACTGTTGCGCACCTACCCACGTGCGTCACTGAAAAGATCTGAGACTAGTGAGCAAGTGGTCTTGTTCAGCGGGATGCACCAGGCTCCCCTTGGCGCTACTGTTTGTGTCTTTGTAAACCACATCAGATCTGAGAGTTGTGTAGGTGGATATGAACAGTTAGATTAACCTCCCTTTAACTGGCTGTTTATAGGATCTAAAGACTATACTTGCTCTAATCCAGGGTTCCTCATATGAACCACAAAACGTGAGCAACGACTTGACTCTACACAGTGCCCCCCAGAAATGTAGGAAATAGTTTCCTTAACTTTAGTTAGTGCACCAGCAGTCAATCCTCTTATTGAGCCCTGAGAGAAATACTAGAGATATTCTAGATAAGAACTGATTTCTCCTTTTGTGTCTAGGCTTCTGCTTTGTGTACATTAGAAGGATTAGAAGGATTTTAAAAGTAATATTTAGCCGGGCAGAGGTGGTGCATGCCTTTAATCCCAGCACTCGGGTGGCTGAGGTAAGCAGATCTCTGTGAGTTCAAGACCAGCCTGGTCTACAAGAGCTAGTTCGAGGACAGGCTTCAAAAACTACAGAGAAACCCTGTCTTGAAAATCAAAAAAAAAAAAAAAGTAGTGTTTAAATTTATGGGTTGCTAACTCCCTAATAGGTTGTCAAGAGTGAGTTCATGGATTCCTTAAAGGAAGCTGGGTGGAGTTTATTAAATCATAGTTGACATTTTGAGTAATCAATGAAAGTAACTCAATTTTTGAGTAAATTAAGAAAGTCTCACAGCTCTTTTTTATTTTTTTTTCTCCTGAGACAAGGTTTCTCTGTAGCTTTGGAGCCTATCCTGGAACTAGTTCTTGTAGACAAGGCTGGCCTTGAACTCACAAAGATCCCCCCTGCCTCTGCCTCCCCAGTGCTGGGATTAAAGGCATGTGCCACCACCACTGGCCGGCCTCACAGCACCTTTCAAATGACTTTTTCCCCTTACCCCCCCACCCCCGCTCTTTTGAGCACATTGACCTGTGCTGGCACTATACAAACTGTCTAATCTCAGTAGTAATCTTGAAAGAGAAATATTAAGGTCCATTTTTCAAATTTACAAAGTGTGGCTCTGGGTAATTATTTTTATGTAAAAATGTGTGCTCCTAGGGGCTGGGAGGGCAGCTTAATGGTAAAATGCTGGCTTCCATGTGGGCTCTAATAATAAAAGTATATGTTCCTCGTGTGCCTTCTAGCACGGATCTGAAGTGACACCTATGTCAAGTCTGATCCTCGATTGTCTAGAATAAATCAGGTGGTTTTTGTTTGTTGGGGGTGAGGGGGATTGTCTGTTTTGTTTTTGAGACAGGTTTTTTTTTTCTGTGTAGCCCCAAGTATCCTGGAACTCACTGTGTAGAACAGGTTGGCCTCGAACTTAGAGATCCACCTGCTTCTGACACTACCACCTGGCAAAATAAACCAGTTTTGATGTATGTTCCTGTAATTACCATGGGCTAAAATAATTTTTTTGTGATTAACATTCCCTTCTTTTTCCTTAATTGTTCTTGGTCTGAAATCTTTACTGAGGACCATTTTATGCCTGATAGTGTCCTCAAAGTTAAAAACTAATGGACTATCTCAAATCACTCATTCTCAAATGAAATATTTCTCTCCAAATTATTTAATAGTAGCGTGTAGTCCTGGTAGATCTCATGCCATCTAGTATTAATGATACATAAACGTGGTGTTGTCTGAGGACCTAGCCTTTCTTTCCTCTGTTCCTAAAACTCTACACTGGTCTCTTCTTTGACTTGGAGATGCTTTTGTGTAACTGGTGTTTTTGTGGTTATTTTATTTTCTGGGATGGGCTTTCATTGTATTCGCCAGGCTGTTCTCAACCTTAGGCTCAATGATCCTTCTCAACCCGCTGGCTGTCTAAAATTTGCATTTGATGTTTTCATCATCCAGTAGCCAGTATTCCACCCTGAGGGGAGAAACCACACTTCAGACCCCACCTTTGCTGTCTGTACTTTAGGATGTTGTGAGCATTTTTGCATATAAGCTATTGGTTGCTTGCATTTGAGTTCTTAATCCAAGATAGAAGCTTTTTGGTTCCCATAGTCAGGACTGAGAACACTGCAGATGTTAGTCAGGAGGGACTGAAGTTCGGAGAGACACTGGATGTTAGAAATCATGGCTCCCCTCCTCAGGAGTGCGGGTCGAGTGACTGTGTACTGTTTGTCCCCTCTGACTACACATCTCTGTTTCCTGCTAGGTGGTGGTAATCATTAGTTCCAGGGTGCTCTACCATGTTGATGCAAGCTGCTGTCAGGCTTGTTAGGGGGTCCCTGCGCCCAACCTCGTGGGCAGAATGGGGTCAGAGGGACCTTCGACTGGGTCAACTTGCTCCTTTCACAACGCTCCACAAGGACAAGCCACTTTCTGATAAAAGAAGGTTGGTGCTGTTACCTTCTTTATTGCTCTGGGAGCAGAGCCTTTCCTTCAGTGTCTGTTAGCTGTCAGCTGTCTAAGTCTTGGACAGGTTAAGAAAGCAGATCTCTTACCCAAGTCAAGAATACCTCCTAACTTTATAAGTTCAGAGTCCTCTCCTTGCAGTCCTTTCTCCTTTCTTTTTCGTTTTTACTACTTTTGACTATTTTTTATTTATTGAGCCAGGGTTTTATTATACAGACCAAGCTGTCCTTAAACTCACTGTGTAATGAAGGTTGGCCTTTAAACTAAAGGTCTTCTTTCATTTCCCATGACAGGATTATAGGCATATGCTACGTTACCACCTGGCTCCAAGGTAGTTTGTTTGTTTTTTGTTTTTCTTTTTTCCCAAGACAGGGTTTCTCTGTAGCTTTGGGGACTGACGTGGAACTACCCAGCAAATTTTTTTTGTTTTGTTTTGTTTTGAACTCACTAAATTCATATTGAAAAAGAAGGATACAGCAGCAAAAAAACAATGGTGCATATCTATGTAATCCCGGAGCTCAGGGGGCCAAGGGAGGAGAGTTGCAGGTTCAAGTCCAGCCTGAACAATTTAGCAATCCCATTTCAAAATAAAAAAGGAGCTTGGGGATGTTCAGTGTTAGACCTTTAACCTAGCACACTTGGAGCACTGGGTTAAACCTCCAGTACTACAAAACAAACACAAGAAAGTGAAGAGTATATTTTAAAGCCAGATGCTGGGTGGTGTTGTACACACCTTTAATCTAATCCCAGCACTTGGGAGGCAGAGGCAGACGGATCTCTGAGTTCAAAACCAGCTGGTCTACAGAGCGAGTTCCAGGACAGCCAAAGCTGATACACAAAGAGAGAAACTGTGTCTCAAAAAACAAAAAGCCAGACAGTATGCAAGCATGATTGACATGATTCACTATTAAAGAGTTATCAGTTGGAAAGAATGATCGATGAATTCTCTTTGACTAATGAAGATATTCTTGAGTATCCAAATAAGTTTATTTTTCCTGGATTTAGATAGCAAGTTCAGATCATAAGGGTCACAAAGTTTCCCCCATTGTTTTGGTCTTTGAGTTTCACATAACATGTATGAAGTTTGGATAATGAGAGACTCAGAAATACATCCAAATTTGTCTAGTTTCTGCCCTGGAGGCAGAATGTTATGTAGTGAAAGATACCCTAAATTCACTTTTGAGTGCTAACTAAATAAACTTCGGGATTCAGTCGTTTCTTTTTAATATCTCAGTTCATACAACTGATGGTCTTATTTCCTTTTTCTATGTGATGAGTCATTTGCTCAAGGCCACTCAAGTGGTTAGTGTTTTAGAATTTAGCGCGGGGCAGTTTGACTACAGCCATGGTACAGCATTCACTGTATTATGCTGTGTGGTGTTCTTTTCTGATGTTAAAGTCAGAGCAGTTTTATTGTTTTGCTTTGAGCTGGGTCTCAGGCTGGCCTAAGATTCACTATGTAGCTGCAGATGACTTAAACTTGTGATCTCCTGCCTCCACCTCCCAATACTGGGGTTCCAGGTGTGCGGCATCACATCTGCTGTGCTAGGG